CTGACGAGGTTTGAGATGGAAAGTTCAAAGACCATTGATACTCTCATTGCTACTGCCACCCATCTAGACTTGGACCAACCAGGTTCCCCTGTAAATAAAACCATGTATCGGGGCATCATTGATTCACTTTTGTACCTAACAGCCAGCAGACCTGACATTATGTTCAGTGTGGGGTTATGTGCTAGATTTCAATCAAGTCCTAAAGAAATCTCACTTGAAAGATGCTAAGAGAATCCTGAGATATCTCAAAGGAACGCAGGACTTGGTCCTCTATTATCCCTCAGGGGATAATTTTGACATAATTGGGTATGCTGATGTTGATTATGATGGCTATATGGTGGATAGGAAGAACACATCTGGTATGGCACATTTTCTGGAATCATGCTTAATTTCATGGGGTACAAAGAAACAAAATTCTGTAGCCCTCTCGACTGCAGAAGCAGAAGATATAGCAGCTGCCTCATCAACGCTCAACTACTGTGGATCAAGCAATAATTTAAAATATTTGGTGTGTTCTCCGACTGTGTGCCACTGTTGTATGACTACACAAGTGCCCTCAATATGGCAAAGAACCCGGTTCATCATAAGAGGACAAAGCACATTGATGTGTGATATCATTTCCTCAGGGACAATGTTAAAAAGGGTCTCATCTGTATGAAGTTTTTCAAAACAAAGGACGAAGTAGCTGATATCTTCACCAAAGCATTGAGCAGAGAGCATTTTGAAAAGAATCGAATGGAGCTACGATTAATCAAATTGAACTGAGAATTTGATCCCTCAATGACTAGCTATGATAGGATGGTAAGGTGAAATGCTAAAAAGTATTTTCTGGAAACTTTTAACTCAATTCTATACTGTTACAGGTAAACACGCATGGAAATTACAGGGCAAATAAGCATCTAATGACATTGCAATTTGTTAGAAGGTCATATTTGTAAAATCAGTCAGGGAACCTGGTTCCCATGACACTGATTAGTAGTTCCTCTTACACTCATACGCATTTTGAACTGCTAGTGTGCCACCTCATTAAGTGTGTCCTCCCTTTTCCCATATCTTTTAAACCCAAACGTCACACCCATTACAAACCGACCTGACTACCCAGTCCATCGCGTCCATCTATAATCTGTCCCTCTTTCCCTCTAAATAACCCCAAAAGGCATGTCTCTCTCATAATTATTTACATCAAAGCCATCAAACTCTCTTTTTCTCTCTGAAAACCTTCTCTTTCGTGTCTTCACTCTCAACTATTCACCATGTCTTCTCAGAAATCAGAGTCTCCAAAAGCCACCATTTAAATCCCTACCGTGTCTTTATCTCACGAAGCACAACCATCAGAATTGGAGCCTCAATATTCACCTATTAAAAACCCTTCTCCAACCAACCACCACCCACTGTCTCTTCTCCTACTCCATCAAGTTCTTGTTCCTATCGTAGCCGGAAAAACCAAACTCCTAAGAAGTTTGTCGCTTCAACCTCCCCCTCTGCTAGCATTGAAAAAATGGAAGTAGAAGGACTGGTGGAAGGGGAAGAAGGTACAGAGGTCTCAAGTCAGCGGGTTGAGGAATAAAGTGTGGACCAAGTTGTTGTCACTGGACTTGGTGAAGAATCGGGTACATCTGAAACCCCCTCTGCTCAGAATTTTGATCTAAACACCTTGTCACCATCAGGTAATACCTCTCTAGCTCCTAGTGATCCTACGTTGTTGGAAGATTTGGTTGAGAAAGAAGCTATAGAAAATATATTGTGTATTGCTGCTGAAGGGAATCTGGTTGGGGGGTCTGTGTTTGATGATGTGAGTGTTGGGGCTCAGAGGAAGAAAAAGGGAACGGGGATAGAAATAGGGACCGGGTGCCTCAAGGTGACTTGGTACTAGTTACTACTACATGGGAGCCAACAGAGGGACCTTCTTCCTCTGTCCAAGAGGAGTACTCTGCTCCTACTTTGGATGAAACTCAATGCTCCACTAGAAAGCCCATGGACAATACTGACCCTCCTTCCCCCCTCACCTTGATGCAGTCCCTTTAGATTTTGTGATTCCTAAGAAGAAGAAGAAGAAGAAGAAGAAGAAGAAGAGGAAGAAGATGATGATGATGATGATGATGATGATGATGATGATGATAATGATGAAAGTGAGGATGATTATGACAATGTGCCTGTAGCCCAGTTCATCACTACTAGGAGTGGTGGGACAACTTCAAAAGAGCCTGTTCTTAAAAGACCCACCACTAGGCAGCAGAAGAAAGTTTCCCTTGAAAAAAGGAGAATAAGGAGAAAAAGAAAAGAAGATTGGTGAAGGCAGGTAAATTAGTTAATGAGGAGGATCTGCCTCCGACCAATATTGTGGAAGTTGAGGACGAAGAGGTGAATGAGGAACCTGATTTCCTTGTTTGTAAATCCTCTAAAAAGACTGTGCTTGTGAAATCCAAGAAAGCGTCATCTCTGAAGGGTGTTGAAATTGGTGGTGAGAAGAGTGTTGAGAATAAGGAGTCTGTTGAGAAGGTGAAGCCTACTAGGAAGGAGAAAGGTATTGAGAAGAAAAAATCTCACAAGAGAAATCCAAGTAACAGTGAGGGGCCTGGTTCCTCAAAAAGAGCGAGAGTGGAAGTGTCTGAGAGTGAGAGGAAAGAAAAGCTCAAGAAGCAAAAAATATTGTGGGGCAGAGTATTTGATACTGACATTCTTGACAAGTTAGGTATGAGGCAGTTAGTTGAAATTTGTGAATTTCAGAAGTGGACTCATCTGTTTACTCTTTAGAGTCCAAAAGTCTATGAAAAGGAAGTTCGCAGTTTCTATGCTGATCTGTTCACTGTGTAGGATGACAACATCTGCCTGAAGGTCAATGGGGTAGATTTTGTGATGGATGAAGCTGTACTGGGAAGCATTCTTGATGTGCCTGCGGAGGGGTTCTCGACTGTTAAGGGAACATGTTCCCCAAGTTTTAGGAAGGTTATTCTAAAGCCTCAGGCTGTTCAACAAGGGGAACGGGTGCATAAAAAGGCACTGCTCCTAGAATACCAATTCATGTTTGAGATGGTGAACAAGGTCCTTCTCCCTCGAGCTAAAAGATGATCCATTGCATCAATAACGGACTTGGTTCTCGTGGAGGCACTGGACGGATATACTGCTATCAACCTGCCCGGGATCCTGATTGAACACATAAAGAAGATTGCAGACTTCAAGGATGGGAACCATGGGTTTCCATATGGTTCCTGCTAACCAACGTTTTTGAACATTTCAAAGTCCCTTGGGGAGAGCAGCTGTGAGAACTCGTAAGCAAATGTTCTCAATAACTACCTTAGAGTAATGCGAGTGTATTGATAAGAAGTGGGAGTTGGCAGCAGTTCTACAATTTCTCAGTTGATTGATGCTAGAGTGCTGCCAATGAGGAGATAAGAAGGCTGAAGGATTAGAATGCCATTCTTGAGGGAAAGCTCAGTTAAGCCCGAGAGGAACCTGGTTCTAGCAGTGCTCAGGGTGCAGAGGTTGCCCGCTTGACAGCTGAGAATGCAGAGCTAAGGAAACAGGCTGAGAAACGGGTTCTCAGGGGGAATATGGCTAATCTGCAGGGGGAACAATATGGAGATCTGGTTCTCAGGGGGAACTTCAATTCTAAGTTTGTCATCATCAAAAAGGAGGAAATTGATAAGTTAAGTGCCTTTTTATTTTGATGATTTAATAAACTTTATATGAGAACCAGATAGAGAGCATGATACAAAGCCTCTTCGTGCTCAGAACTACATGTCACATGTCTGGCATAAGTTTCAATGAAATCAGTTAAGGGAACGGTAGAGGGAACAAATGGCTATCAGTTCCTGCGATTACAGTACAAGTCTACTCTTTACAACTGTTAAAGCCGCTGCACTACAGACACAACAGTGCATCAATAACTGTTGAAGTATGATGTGTACCGGACACTTACTTGAATCATCCTAGTGACCTTACTTATATATTAGCAACATGAGGCAATAGATTAGATACACTTGCAAACCCTAAAACACAATTTACTCTCAAGTGTGCAGCCGCCTTTATATACTCCAAGGCATTGAAGAATAAAGTAGCAACAGAACGAAGGACCAGATCCCAACATTGAGTACATTGTATGTCCTTAGTATTGTTGTATGTTTGTTAATGTTATTAACTTGTAATTCCTATTCAGCTTATTTAGAAGCATCTGTAGGATACCTTTGTAAACCATAAATCATGTGTTTGTATTTTACTAGAGTTAGTCAAAGTGGTTAGCCTTGTAATAGAGTTATTACAAAGAGGCTTGCAATATAGTTATTGCAAGTAGGTGAGGGATTAAGTGCTTAATTCCTAGGTTAGAATAGGTTGTAATCTAAAGTTGCTCGGTCAGTGAAGTTGAAATCCTACGAGTGTAGGTCGTGGTTTTTAATCCCGTGAGTTGAGAGTTTTCCACGTAAAAAATATTGTTGTGTTATTTACCTTCCACTGTGTGTGTTCTGTGTGAACTGATAGAGAACCAGGTTCTCTATACAGATTGGTGGACTCTTAGTTTACATCAAATATGTTACCAATCCGCGACGTTTATGCAACATAACAATTGGTTGTCTCATAGAATATTTTGCTACTCAATTCTAGTCCTTGCAAATATCTTTTATCTTATTTCTCCTACCTTATTCCATTGTTAAATGGGATAAAGAACATTCATTAATGAACATTCATTACGATCTCCCCATACTTGTCTAAAATTAGTTTTGAATCTAAAGCAAAATGACTTCCATTGACTGCATTCCGGAAAATAGTCAATCTAAGAAGGATAGAAGCAACAATATGAAAGAAACAGAGAACTAGCCACCCTTATTTTATTTTATTATCAGCAAGGTGGGTAGAACTTACACATATGATAGAAAAATGTTCTAGAGGGTCAGTACTTCAGAAATACCTTAGCAGTGATGAACTCGGAGAAAGTTCAACATGTCAGAAGTCTAGTGATTTATTCTTCACTATTCTAAATTGATGCAAGGATATGTAAGGGATACCTGAGTCCTGAGAGCTGACGATAAAGTGAAGCGGGAGACAGTTGTTGCTCTCAAGATCAGCTATGCTCAATTTCAAAGTCCAGTTGTACGTTGTATATTAGTTGTCGTAGCAATGGCTCGCTGTTCTGAATTTGTGCAACTTAGCAATTGCTCTTTAGTATTTTGAGTTCATCCCTATTTAGTTCTACTTAGTCTTTGCCTTTCTTTTATCTTCTTTTTCAACTTGTATGCAACATAATGTCACTTTTTTGTGTGCTCAAAACGATTTTTAACTCAAAAAGTAAGATGCGTATTAACTCTTTGAAGCCAAACAATTGGTCCATCCATCATAAAGGCAATCCCGCACCCAAAGTATCCTGCATTTGGTCCGAGAAGGGTTGCATACCAAATGGTGTGATGTATGCAACCTACCCTAAGGTATGTATAAGTGGTTGATTCCATACCTCAAGCATGTTGGTTATAGGTCACATAGAGATAATTTTATTGTTTCTTCAATGCTCCCCTGCAATTGGTCCATCCATCATCCGAATCAATTTCTGATGGTTTCTATAAAAAATTCATACAAAATCACAAATGAAATGACACATCATAGATGGGACATTCCTGTTCAGTCTTAGGTTCTACACAACGAACACATGAAACACAACCATCTTGATCTTGGCTTTGCAACTAAGAACTCGCTATCATGTTAGGTAAAGGGGCTATTAGTTTCAGCTTGATCAAGGAAAACCCAGCTCAACGCTACTGTAAATTAGAAGTAATAACAAGAAACAAACGAACAAGTTAAAATAGGAGGGTTGTTATGTCAAAAAGTAATACAAGAGAATAACAACGTAACCAAATTTAACGTGAAAAACCTCTTCAAAGCAAAAAGTAAAAACCATAGAACATCCAATTCATTAAAATCTCCATTTTCTCGAAAGAGAGTTATACAAGTCCTCTAAAATGGTCATAACACTAGCGACAAATAAGGAAAAATGATATACAACAAACAAGCGAAGAATGAAACAGAAATACTCACCCAACACGAGCTACAGTTTGTTGCTCAATATATGTAGCTAAAAATCTCGAAGCACGATCTCCGTTGTTTAGATTGGAGAACAAGATGTTACCAGGGCTGGCCGAAGGATAAGGTTTAAAGCCATTGCTTTAGGCCCCCAATCTTGGAAGGCCCCTTTTTTTTCTCCTATTATTTATTATTATATATTTTTATAAAGTTATCAGTAACAAAAAGATTCCAAATTTTATACTTCTATTGTTGGAATGTAATTTAGCTTGTTCAGTTGAATGAACTTGAATTTATAAACATAGACTATGAAGAGAGAAGCAATTTGATGAAGATATTAATGAAACTATGTATCTTTATCTTGAATATTTTTTAGAATTGATTATTTCTTATACATAATGTATCAAGTTATTTTTTTACTTCAAAATAGAACTATACTATTAAAAATGTATAAAATTATTTTAACATTCTACTTAATAGTAAAAATTTGAGATGATTAGATGATGAACATATTGAAAAAGCATTGCAATTAATTTAATTTTTTTTAAATATATTACCTAAGGTTTTGTGAGTATAGTTAACTGGTATTTTCGTTGGTGGAAGCTCAATTAGGCATAAGGAAATGAATAACCGATCGATGAGAATGCAAGATGGTTCTAGCACCTAATAAAATATTATTTAAAAACTTAAGATTTTATATTAAGGTTTGACTTCACCTTCTGTTGAGCCGACTCTAGAGGTTACGAACGCCTATAAAGAATTTCATTTCTATCTAACTCTGAATCTCTTTATTCTCTTCTCTTTCTTGTCAAAACAGCTGCTCCTTTTGTCTTCTTAGATCACAGTCAACACCAAAAACAACCAAAAGGATCATTTTATAAAAGTTAGGCAAAACCTTCTTCTAATTGGGAACGAATGCGACACCAAAAAGGAATTAGAAATTGAACCCAAACTAATTAAAAAAAAATTCCAGAATGATCATTAGTGCATTTGGCTAGAAAAGTGGGTGTGGTCCCAACAGAGATAACAGTAATCATTGTTAGAATTATGTACCATTTATATATTAGAGGGGTGAATAGTGTATCAACCAATTAAAAGTTTTATTCATAATTTTCTTTTTCCTAAGAACTCGGTTCTTAAAAATATTCTTTCGATTCCTGTAACTAATAAGTGCATAAAATAAAGAAGAAATAAATTTTACGTGAAAACCCTCCTTGATCAAAGAAGTAAAAATCACAACTTAACTCCCGGATTTTCTCACAAACTTCAATATAAAACAATGAGCAGTTTTAGGTTATAAAACTCTTTTATAACCTAAGAGACTAAGTCTAGCCACTCAACAGCCTACAATTAAACCGATTGTAGCTACTCATTTTAAATTAATTTCTTAGTATAGAACAACAGATTGTCACTCAAAAACTCTTACAAATAGCTTCTAGTACAAGAAAAGTAAGATTACAACTCGATAGGCCTACTACAAGATCAAGACAAAAACAAACTAAGCATGGATCTCTGAAAATGGGTTCTTCACTTTGTCTTACTCTTGATTCCCACCAAGTCGCTACTCACAAGAAGGATTTCTTAGATCTGTATATAGGTGCACAACTCTGCTAAGATAATCTCGTAACATATATATATATATATATATATATATATATATATATATAGGTATGGAAGAGTGATTACCCAATCTCGTAACCCTAGCAAATAATAGACGTAAAAGATTTTTTTTCGGTCTTCTAAGGAAGTAGAATTTACTTCCATATGTACTTCCTTAATTCTTGGTCCAAAGTCAACCCACAAAAATCTGCTAAGATTTTCTGATGCCATCGCGTGTCTGCCAAGTCAGCATAGTATACATAGGCGATGCACATATGCGCGAAAGTGAATCCCATTTTTGATAGGACTCTGAGCTGTATAGGAACCACCAGCCAATGTGATGTCTCGTGAATGGTGGTGGATGATTTATTGGATCTCCCTCTTGTCAGGTTTGTCGATTGTCTCCTTTGGTCATGATAAATAAAGATAATGGTTCATCTGACTCTGCATCTTCATCTTGACTTTCATTACTGTCGTCTTAGTATGAATCCAAGAAAGCTTGCTTCATGGCCTCTTCCGTAGCCTTCATTTTAGCTACCTCAGCTTTATTGTATAGTGTTGGGACTCCGGTCCTTCATCAGGTCCCTCTTCTGTTTCTTGAGATGCTCCTTCTCCTATTCAGTTTTTTACCGTGGAGTCCTTGATTATGTAATCAAGCTTCCCACATTTGTAGCAACCATTAAAGTTGGTCTTGTCTAAGGCTTTTGATTTATTAGAAGCCTCCTTTTTTCCAGTTACTTTTGAGTTTTTCAAAAACTTCTTGAATAGTATGGTCAATAGACTCATATTGATTTCTTCTTCTTCATCTGAATAACATCCTCATATGTCTTGAGTGCTAGACCTTTTTCTCTCTTGGTATCATCTTTCTTCAACTCTATTTTTCTCATCTCATATATTCTCAGATTTCCTACCAACATATCTAGGGTGATTGTACTTAACTCCTTTGCTTCTTGGAATGCAGTGACTTTGTTTTTCCACAAGGTAGGAAGTATTCTGAGAATTGTTCTTACCAATTCCTCAAATGTGAAGGTCTTCCAAAGTGATCTCAACTCGTTTGTGATGACTGTGAACCTGGTAATCATATCCTGGATTGGTTCTGAATCTTTCATGGTGAATAGTTCATAGTTTGTCAATAGCATTTCAATCCTAGATTGCTTCACTTGCGATGTGCCTTCGTGTGCAGTTTGCAGGGTGTCCCAAATTTTCTTTGCATTAGTCCATGCAGATACTCGTCTGTACTCATCAAGACCCAAGCCACATATATATGAGTATCTTGGCTCTGGCAGTTTTTTCCATGAGCTTGCGATCGATATTATTAAATTCACTTCTATCCTTGGGAACTTCCCTTCCGCCAACATCAAGTTTGATGGGAATATCTTGTCCATCTAGAATAATATTTCATAGTTCATAATGTACAACATTCAGGAAGTTTTCCATCATAGCCTTCCACCAGTTGTAGTATTTTCCATTGAACAAAGGTGAACGTGTGGTAGACTAAACCTCGTTCATCCCACGTGGTGCACTCATCTCATTAGTCTCTCAAAAGGGTAAGCCTCGCTATTGAGAGCCTACTTTGATATCAATTGTTAGAATTATGTACCACTTATACACTAGGGAAAGGGGTGAAGAGTGTATCAACCAATTAAAATTTCTACCAAGAATTTTTGTATTCATGAGAACCTGGTTATTTAAAAGGTTCTTGAAATTCCTGTAACTAATAAGTGCAAAAAATAAAGAAGACAAGAACTTTACGTGGGAAACCTCATTGCTCAAGGGAATAAAAACCACGATCCAAACTCTAGGATTTTCTCACAAACTTCACTAAAATAACGAGCAGTTTCAGGTTATAAAACTCTTTTATAACCTAAGAGACTAAGTCTAGCCACTCAACAGTCTATAATCAAACTAATTCTAGCTACTCACTCAAAACTAATTCTTAGTCTAAAACAATAGATTGCCACTTAAAAGCTCTTACAAATAGATTTCAGTGCAAACAAAGTAAGATTACAACTCGACAGGCCTACTACAAGATCAAGATAAAAACAAACTAAGCATGGATTCCTAAAACTGTGTTCTTCACTTTGTCTTACTCTTGATTCTCATCAAGTCACTGCTCACAAGAAGGATTTCTCAAATCTGTATACAGGTACACAACTGACCAGCGCAAAACACAGCATGAAATTTATGCTCGCTAGCCAAAGTTAGTGTAGTTTAATTATCATCTCAACAAGAATTGGATTTAAACATGATCAAGTAATTTCTAGCTTAACGCTATTCAGGATGATTAACACTTTGGTTGGGATGATTAATAACTAAAATTAACTATGAAACTAAAAAAATTTGCAATTAGTCACAGAAAGACAAGAGTTGAGCAACACCGAAATATCAATGGGAGAAATAAGGGTCATGACATGATAGGTGTAAGATAGCTATTTGGGATCTAACTCTTGTTCAATTCACTCTAAAGTTCTAATGATTCTCACGAATTCACTCGATGATTAGTCCAAAAGTGTAGTCAAGACTCCTCTCTTGATTAAATATTAACTCTACGAGGTGAACTAATATAGGCACTGTGAACATATGCAAGCATGCATTAATGGATTACTCTTCAGGAAAATGTCTCTCGAATATTCTCCTAACTTGATTTAATCAACAATTCAACAAGCTCTTTCGATTACGTAAAAGGATCACTGAGTTAAACCAACTAAAATAATGCAAAGATAATCACCAAATTATTCCTCTTTCGATTAAATAAACTGGTGAATAAAGTTGCAAATAACTCAAAGCTCCATAAACGAATTCAAGCAAAGACTAGAGTTAAAATCCACAAATATCAATCAAACCACCATATCCGTCAAACCCTAAGGAAAACTACTCCATAATCATGGAGAAAATCATCACAAATATAATTAAAGAGTAAGAAAGCATCAATCTAACGTTACAATCCAAACTCCCGTATTGAATTTATGGAAAGATGATGAAATCTTGTGTCTTGTAGCCTCCAATGCTCTACAAAATCTTCCAAGGTCAAAATTCCTGTAAAATTCATATTTTTGATGTATTTATACTATATAGGAACGGGCCCGGACGAACCTATCCTTTCCAAGCCAAAGTGGGAAAAGTTGGGCGAGAAAATACACTACCGCGGCGCATCATGTGTCGCATTAGTGGGAAAGTTGAGAGGCCAATTGTTTTCACCCTGCATGAATTTTGCACTAGCGCCCTGTATCTGCTACGCATAGCGTGGTGCGGTAGTGCATTTTTCTCAGAGTAATTTATTTTTCTCACTTTTTGACATCCAGACTTGGTCCTCGACCCCTGAACGTGATCCCGATTTAATTTTTTGGGCTTTTACGTAGACTTCAAAGCTCTAACTTGTTTAAATTAGCTCCAAATTATCTTAACAGCTCATAATCATTTCATGTAAGGTATAAAACACATAATAAGAGGAAATCACCATTAATTAAGTTCAACCACAAGTAAAATGCAGTGATTAGAGTAAAAACTATGACTAAAATATGGGTTTGTAGCCTACCATCAATACCCCACACTTAAACCATAG